CAGATCTCCCTCCTCTAGCTCGAACAATGAGGAGGGGCATTGGGTGCACAGCCCTCAATCTGTCAAACGAACCAGTTGCAGATGACGAAACAAGTCGCAGTACAGGGTCCAGGCATGTTCATCGAGGAGCCGAGCTTGACGCGGTACGGCCAGCGGCCAGCGGCGACTTAACACGACAAGTTATTCCCCACCCGTATCACGGATAATGTCTGGAGGTGCGTCGCGATATTGAAAGGTTGCTGCGAACCAAGGTATATCCCGACTCCGAAAGGCAACCCATTATCTCCTGCTTCGACCGACCGATCAACGTCGCAAGCGGGAGTCTCTCTTAGCCCTTCATTGCCGCGAACGCACGTCTCTCCAATTGGCTTTGCCTGCAAATAAGGCACATCAGATCTGCGTCAGTTCCCCGATCGATGTCGCTTGTTCCCAGTACACCCGTTCACGGCCATGGCCAGACCCTGCACACGCCAATATCTCTATCAAAAAAGACGCCAGACTCCAGACATCTCAGTCCGTAGTTGGTCCAACATGTCCACTCCGAAAGGAACCGTCTCTGATGGCGAGTTGTGCCACTTGCCTCTTCTCGGATACCTGCATTCATGGCATAACGTCTTGCACATCATCTTGCATACTATACTTCTGACCGTTCACGTTTCTCAGCTATGAGCCTCCTCGACGGAATACCATGACGCCGCCGGACCCCACACGGACCGGACATTCAATGGGCCTCTAGGGAATCTCAGTGAAAGGTGGCATGAAGCATATATCCGCCGAAGCCGACGTTGTACGAAGCTTTGAGTTCGATACTACAGAGCCGTTTGTCTCGTTTGAGATGCGAACCTCGTGCCAGAGTGAATCAGTTCCATACCAATATGCCAGCCAAATTCGACCGACACCTAGCGGAGCAGCAGAAGGCCAACGAATTGTCCGGCAGCAATGCGGGCGAGAGTCATTTTCCCCACGATCATTGGTGCAGCTCAAGGGGAACCGGCAAGGGGCTGCTCAGGCACAGTTGTGTCTCCCCGCCATCCCCCATGCCCATTGTACGGCAAAAGAAACCTGCTGCAAGCCATCCCCTGGATTTCGAATGTGCGGTGTGAGATTCTCGTCTGAAAGAAAACGCCTTGGTAGGGCCGTCAACCAATCAGGCCGCATCCCATGTTGTCCGTTGGCGGGATTCGCCCGAGGACTCTCTATGCCTACTGTCTTCCTTGCATTACGTGATGCAAGTAATGCTTCTGGACCGTTAAGAGAGACAGGAGGCTAGTCGAGACTCGTGGCTGTCACCTCGAAAGCATTGGCTCGAAAACAGTTGGTTTGGTACCTGATGAGCAACAACTGGCTAATCTGGGTGGACAGTCTTACTTGATTGATCTGGCAGGAACCTAACTTGTTACTTGGTCAAGCCAAAGGCGAGATACCAACTCTCGATTGATTGAAGATGGGGCCAATTGAGGGTCGCTGACCCCTCCTCAACCCCTCCTCCGTCGGACGCGGGGCACGAAACTCCCTCCCAAGCCCTGCCCAACTTACGACTGCAATTCGTCTCTCTGACAACCAACTTGACGGACTCACGATATCGCTATTTTTCACGGGAACTTGGCGACAGAGATGTCGATGCCGATGCCTGGCATCGAAGGACGTTCCTAGCCGAACCTAGCCCGAGGTCTGATCACTGGATGGCCTCAAAGCAATAGCGGCGCCATCCGCCTCTAGTGAGGGTGCTCGGATCTCTCAAGATCTTGACCGCTTGTTACCCCCTCAGGTGGTGTGTGGCCCAAGCTGCGCAGCCACCTCAAAGGGATTCAAGAATGCCACCATTCCATTCAGAAACGGACCAAAATACCCAGTGTGGTGGGTTTTATTGAAGGCATTTGCAAGGTTTTTTCTCCGCGTAGCTGGAATGCTGCTGAAGATAATTTGCATACCTTTCCTTCAGGACTTTTGACACATGAACGTCTGTCTGCTTCCTTGGCCATGCAGGGACGCACAGCGCTGCGCTGGCTCCAATGGTAATCCCAGGCGTCATTGACCGCTCTCTCTCTTTCACTATACACTTTGCGGAAAAACTTGTATGCCGCAGGTAGTGTGAGTGGGCAGGCTTGTAACTAGTCACACCATCAAGGCAGCTATTATGTGTCTACTCGGTGCTAATTGAATTGAATTGACTCGAGATTGTCCACACTTGTGTGCTGTCATGAAACTGAAAGAAATGGATGTTGCGTCATCCTCATACGGCACTATATGCTTCCAATTCATTCCAGAGAAAATAAGCCCGAGAGGCCCGGTGATATGATCAAGGCATCCGAGCAGTATTGTTTAGGCTTGTGATGAGTCAACTTTGTGAGCGGCTGCCCGGTTGTCATTGCGGACCTGGATAGCTCTTGAGGCCGATGTCCAACATGACGGGACGGCCTGAGCTGTGGGCGTTGAGCTCGTTGTCGTACATTGAGTTGAGCATCATGGCTAGCAGACATACCTGATGTTTTGCCCTTCCAGAGCGTTGATTTTCATTTCAATTCGTGACTTTGATGATGATACTTACAACTGAGTTCGTTCTTCGCCTTTCGAGGAGTTGAATTATCCAGTTCTCTATCCACATGTCTTATGGTTGTCCTCATCTTGCTTCCGTATGTCTTTGAAGATTGGTCGTGGGATCATCGGAGGTTGCTCGGCTTGTCAATGTTGTTTCCATCACTCGGATCACTGGACCAGAGCTAGCTTAATCCATCATCGTTGCTTCAGAATAGCTACATCACATTTGCTTCTCTTCTCGGCTCATCCAAATCATGGCTCGCATTCCCGTCCTCCCGTCCCTCGAATCTAGTCAAGTCGGCCCGTGTCTAGATTAGAGGTTCTCCTACAAAGTCGACCGCCGAGGCTCTATGTAGAACAAGAAACTACTTTGGCGAGAACGACTTCATTCAGCGCTGCCCTCAGACGCTATCGTGCTATGAAACCGCTAGATGTCGTGTATAAACAGACGTTCGTTGTCGGATTTGAGGTTTGTGATGAATATAGTTTCTCCTGGCCCGAGCGGGTGATCGGATGGAGTAGAGTTGCCGCCTCGCAGACGTCTGTTTGGGAGGTAGGAAACTCTATTCTTGCATGATGGGTATGTTTGCCGCCGTTTCTGCAGGTTGTTTGATTCGTGAGGGTTGGTATTGGGTTTGATGGTAGTTGTGTTGGTTCGTCGTGCTTTGCTCAGTATGGACGGTTTGGAGAGTCTGGCCATGTCGGTTTGGTGGCTTTGGCTTCGGTGGTTCCAAGAGCATATCTCATAAAAGCAATCAGTGCGAATTAACTCTACAAGAGTCTCAATATGAAATGAAATGTCGATTGAGGCATATCCTGTGGTACGAGTCTGTCACGGGCAATGGATCATCACCTTGAGGCTTTGAATTATGAAGAGACGGCTCCGGATAGTGACTTGTAAACCCTAGCTACGATTACTCAACCACAATTTGTAGACCAGTCATGAGAATCACGGATCCCAGCGTAACATTCCAAAAGTTGTGGAAACAAGAATCATCCTCACCACTGAGAGCACGATCGATTTCTATGTGGATTTGTAGTCGGTCTATCAAGAGTTCTAGCTATTGCGCCTGTCCCTTCGGATTTGTCCATACACTTCCCTTGACGAGCTTCAGTGAGGATTCTATGAGTTCGTCAGCGTTGATCTATCTATAGCCTACACTTTCAATATAAAGGTGGTGATCGCAACTACTATACTGAACATGCTGAAAATGGATGGTCTCGGCTACCTCTTTGACGCAAGCTGAGCATTGCATCTACAAAAGTAGATGAACCACAAGCCAACTTAGCAACTATCACCAGATAGATTATCCCAAATTATCTCAGACGGTACCCATTAACGACCAGGTTGAGGCTCTAATGACATTTCAAATGGACTCCTAAATCACCCCTAGAATCCACCACTGAAGCTATTCACACGACGTTGTCTTATCTTTCATATGGCAACTATGAGGACGGTTCATCTGATCGAACCCAATTAGGAGGCTGTAGGCTACGTAAGAAAGTTACAGTGTCTTGTGAGGAATCTGAGAATGCTAGCTAATCCAGACCCTGATCAATGACATACAAGAGCTTCGAATTAGGGTATCGCGAGAGCTAAGTGGCCCCGGCATTATATCCAAAGGCCTAGAGTATAGCCTAGACCATTTCCAAACCTCCTTTACTCACAGTGAGCCCCTTCAACTCGATGCCACTCTGATGTATTTTTAAAGATCACACAGACAAGTGGGTAGTAAAACGGGGTATGCTGTTGCACACAAGTAGTTCCTGTCAAGTTCGACCGCTAAGCTCAAGGGGCTCTGATTTTGGAGGAACCGGTATTTGTGTAGTATTCAAAGACAAGCTCATTATCTGAAATGTTTGAGAACTTCCATTCTCTCATGCGTCGGTTCCGGAATCCTTTGTTGGAAGTCTAGAAGACATTCAAGAAGAAGATGGGAACCGTCGTCTGGATGGTCGAGAGAGGAACCATTTGCTCTTGTGTGGAGAAGAGTCTTGGCACCACTATGAAAAAAGCCAATATTCCGGGTTTCTTGCGTTCGTAGAGGCAATTCACCATCATCTCGGTCCGAGTCTTCAAGGGATGTCGTTGAAGATTGACATCGTGATGGGATGCCTGGTGTTGAGGGATCCGGTGATTACTAATGGCGAAAGACGAGAACAGCCAATCAATCTGGACATGTCCCACCTTTATGAACTTCCTCTCTTAGGCGCATCATGGCAAGTGGGAAGAGCCCATCTCATCCATCATTACTGCCCAAAGCAAATCTCTTTCGAATTAAGACATCTTTTCGATTTTGAAACATCAGATCTTGAAAATACCATTGAATCATGGGAGTCTGAGTCTTTCTTGACGTCTCATAAAGCTCGCATCCCACAGTCTGCCCCCGAGTGAGATGAGACCCCGCATCAAACCTCTCAAGCGCCGTACCAAAGCCACCTTCATCAAGCGCGCAGTAAATATGGCTGCATCGGCCCAGACCGGGTCGCCGCAACGCTCCGACAGCGACGTGGACGAGGAATTTATCGACGACCTGAGTGATATGGGAATCGAGGGAATCGAAACGAACAGTACCGTGCCAGAACTTTTCACGGCGTCTCCACCAGTGCGCGATACGCTCCCGACGGCCACTTCATACGCTCAGGATGCAACGGTACGGGAGTGTGTCCCGCTGCTTGCTGCCACGGACAGCGACATCGATCACAACGCCCACAGAGTACCCTCACTGCTCCGTGATAATCACATCAAATTTCTCCAGAAGCAGCTCGGGAGGTTTCCGGCCCCGTATGTGGCTGCCGACGCGAGTCGGCCATGGTTCCTGTATTGGTCTCTCAACGCCCTGGCTCTGCTCGGCTACGACACGGCAGTGTACCGGGAAGACCTGATCAAGACAGTGCGTACAATGCAGAACCCGTCCGGTGGCATCGGAGGCGGTCACGGACAGGACTCTCACCTTGCCACAACCTACGCCGTCGTTCTTGCTCTCGCCATAGTCGGCGGTGAGGATGCATACGAGGTGATAGATAGGAAAGCTATGTGGAAATGGCTCTGCTCTCTCAAGCAACCCAGTGGCGGGATTCAGATGGCCCTGGGCGGAGAGGTAGATGTCAGGTGGGTTGACAGCAGCCCCGCTCCTCAGTTCTCTTCCTCTTGCGGCTTGCGCCATCGTTCTGACAGGTCTCTAGGGGAGCCTACTGTGCAGCCGTAATTGTAACCCTCCTGAGTCTGCCTCTGGACCTTTCAACCGACTCGCCGGCCTGGACGCCTGAGCGGCCCACGCTCTTCACTGGATTGGCGGATTATGTACGCAGATGTAAGTCATACCTTAGCCTGGTTGCCTTGCCGTCGCTCACCAATAGGCCAAACGTTTGAGGGTGGAATATCGGGAAAGCCGGATGGTGAAGCGCATGGAGCCTATGCTTTCTGCGCTTTGGGCTGCCTCTCGATCCTGGACACTCCGCATCGCATCATCCCCAAGTACGTATCCAGCCGCGTTCGTCCACTGAGGGGTTGACATGAAAGCAGCGCATACTGACTGCTTCGTCCGATGACAGATACCTCGACGTGCCACGACTTATCTCTTGGCTCTCGTCACGGCAGTACGCTCCGGAGGGTGGGTTCAGTGGCCGCACAAATAAGCTCGTCGACGGCTGCTACAGCCATTGGGTCGGTGGGTGTTGGCCCTTGATCGACGCTGTACTGAAAGGCGCGATTGAGCTCGAGGATCAACCGAGCGAGGCGAGCTTCACTTCCCATCAGGGCAGTCTTTACAGTCGTGAGGGCCTGATTCGATACATCTTGTGTTGCGGTCAAGACCGGTCCAAACGTGGCGGTCTCCGGGACAAGCCCAGCAGGTGAGATGGCGATGATGATAGAAGCTTCCTGATCTGGATGGTTCGTCGCTGACTCGAGTGATAGGCCGTCGGATGCGTACCACACTTGCTATGTCCTCTCGGGACTGAGCTCTGCGCAGCACCAGTGGGATCTCACATATGTCAACGAAGATGAGACGATCCTATCGGAGCCAAAGTGGGTGGCGTCGCCTTGTGCCGAAGGAACACAGGTATTCAACGAGGAGGACCGCGTCGGGACGATCCACCCCGTCTACACCATCCCCCAAGAAAGCGTCGACGACATGAAGGCATACTTTGCGTCGAAACAGGGATTCTAGCCCGCCACCAGGCCGCCTGAAGGCGACCGCCCCCCCTATGTATATATGGAGGAGGAATGTCGGAATCCCGTATCACGTGGTCCGCGCGAAAAGGGGCACTGTGATGGCGGAGACCTTCCGAAATGAACTCGGCGATGGGAAACGTGCCATGCATGCTTACTGACGGCCCCAATCATGAGGAAGGGTGGGATTGAGGAACGAACACGACAGGCCTGCAGTTTCGAGACCAGAGCAAAGAGATCTCGGACAGGGATCGTATGTGCAAGTTTTTGAACAACTCATCACGGCAATATTGCGGCGGCGCAGGAGACTTTGTGTGGTTGTGCATGTTAAGAGACTCAAGCCTGGTCTCCCAAAAAGGTCGAGTTGCATTTGAAATCCGTGCAGCAGCTGCAGCACGCGAATCGGCATGCAACTGTTTACTGGGAGGAAGAGGGAGGTGTCATGGCAGCAGGAGGTAATACATTTTGAACAAATATTTCTGGTCCAGACCAGAGCAAGCCGGTCGAGCAGGCAGAACCAGTCGGCATCCAATGTTCCCATTGAACATACCACGCAGATCGAACAATATCTCTCATTGAAACAGCCCTCAACGGTCGGGACTACGCATCTTTCGAAAGCAAGGGTCTCCTTTGCTGTTGATTCTGGCTTCTCAGTGCCACGACGCGGCGGCGGTGGCGGCGAGCGAATGCACATCATCAATTCTCCCACCCTCCCAAGAACTAGGCCAATCTCAAGAGACATTGGAGACCCTGTAACACGCCACTTTGATGCCTCTGCCGTGCGATCCTCGTGTGGCCGGCTGTTCTTCCACGCGTGTGTCTTTCGGGGACTAGGTAGTTGGAACGGCTAAGAAACGAAACTTGGATGCCTGTCTTGGGATGGCAGGTCTGAGACACAAGGCAGAGACACTTTTGAGACAGGTTGTCCAGTCCAGCCCTGGGACGGCAAAAAAAAGGCACAGAGAAACTAGGTCGACGCGACCTGTAGGCCGTGGGTGTGTAGTAGGTAGGCGTGGGCGAACAGGCTGAGAAAGAGAGACATGTCTACTGCGAGTCCGCGGTGGATTATCCCAGCAGACTGACCTAACCCATGGCGGCCACGCGAGGTTCGATTGGTGCATCTCGCCTTACAGCAACGCCGCAGGGCCTGGGCGCAGATGTCTTTGCTGTCATACATGAACAACCTACTGCGGTAGACGCAAGTGCGCCCCTCTTTTTTGTTGACATTGCTCTTTGTAGTTGTTTTGATATCAGAAAAGAATTACCCGGGAAGGGAGGTCATGTTATGGGCCGCTTGATATGGCCGGGCTGTGTCTCGAATGGTATCGGTCTTCCTGATTACTATTGGAGAGGAGGCTTCGTCGTTGTCATCGTCTGTTTATACGGGCACCGAATGGCGAGAAGATTGCTACAGGCTTTGGATCTGAATCTACCTAGGTGGACTTGAGCCGTGGACGGCATGCCTGCGGGACGAAGCACACAGACAGGGCCGCAGATGGACAGAAAGAGACGAAGAGACGATGACAAGGTGGTAAACATTCAATAATCTTTTTGTTCTGCAGGCGGGAAACGGTAGAACGGCGGTCTGTTCTAGGCGGTAAAAGAATGTGGTGCGACCTCAGGTTTCCGAGAGAGGTCGGCAGCCGGCCGGCCTCCTCCCCCCAGTGTCAAAGGTCCGGTGAACCCTCTTTCACACTGACGAACCCTCCTCTATCTTCCGCTCGGATCGTAGGCGTTTCTGTCCAATGGCGTTCCACCTCTGGATGCAAATGACGTTGAAAGAAGGCCAGGTGTGTTGTCTTCTTCGAAAAGGGGGGGGGGGGGCGGGATGGGATGTGGCAGAGAGGGAGCCGAAGAGAGAGAGACGGAGGGGTCCATGATGTCTCTTTTTTGTGTGTGCCCCTCACACCCCTCAGCAAAAGAGCTACCCTGCCGGCTCAGCTCCAAGACGGGGTACAAATACAGATTACGGTACATGATACACAAGAGGGACGCCAGCGTAATCACAAACTTGTATTCCCGAGCCACCGGATCCCGCAGGCCATGGTTCACAAAAAGCCCTGGGCTGTGGATGCTGGCTTGGGGGAACATACACTGGTTTCGTTCGTTTCACAGCGGGCCTCTTTCTGTACTACAAGATGTGTCGAGAGAGACAAGAGACTGTAGAGATTGACGGTGAGAGACACACCTCGGCACATTTATCGTATCACTTCTATGGTTTCCTGTTTAGCCGCGTTAAACTGGGGATTTAATTGTAGGACGACGAAGCTCGGTGGAGTCGTCTTTTAGGCCAAGGCAGGGCTGGAGAGGCACTTTGACAAGCATAACAATAGGAGCTTCGAAAAGAGATCTGTCTCGGAAGACGTTCCGGACGTAGTGAGGATATCTCCACTTTAGTATCTCTACGAATACAGAGTCTACACAGAAAGGGTCCGTCGTTGGAACGCGAAATCTTGGTTGACTGGGGGTCTCCCGATGCCCACTCGCTTGGCTAGCGAAGAGTCCAAATCAGATGATTTTGGTGAGGCAGGCGGGTATAGACAGGACTCCAAGGAGGCGTACATACATAGTACGTTCATTTATCCCATCTCTCATTCGATACTAGCCAAAGTAATGTGTCATGGCAAAAATACATGAGACGAAGAGAGTCCCATTGGCCTTTGGGATAGGGTCTACCGTCTATCAAAAAAGTCAGGTCACGCCAACAGACATGCGGACGCCCCGCCATTGTCCCCGCTTCGTGAGAGCCGGCCGCTGGGGTGGAGCAAAGTGTGGAGAGTGAGAGAAGTATGAGAGAGGGAAAAGCTGGGATTGATCCAGATGACAGGGTTCCAGAAAGAGGTCAATTGACGAATCACATTTGGAGATGGCGTCTACGGCGAGCGCTAAGAGGCTTAAGAGCTAGCTCTGTCAGGTCGGGCCAGAGACGTTTGGCTTTTTCTTTGGTAGCAGCACCAGTCAGCAGCACCCTTTTTGCTCTACTCTGCAGTAGCTTGGTGAGACTTTCTCAGGGAAAGACCATGAAGGTAAGGCAATCGGCGCTGAGCGGACATCACCTGCTCAGGTTGAAATAGGTGAGGTGGTGAGATGCCTGCCGCCATCGAGCGATGGTTGTAAGTGGCTTTGTAGATGAGGTAGATGGGATGAGTGGCATGGCGAGTGAGCGAGTGAGAGAGAGTAACGGATGTGAGTGAGAGTGAGCGAATGAATGAGTGAGTTTAGAAGTTATTGGTGAGAGGAGTGAGTGAATGACATCGTTGGCGCCTTCCACGGTGCTTCCAGATTGATTCGGGAAGGAAGCCACGGGCGATTCGCTGACTGACACGACCCCTTGCGGCAAGCTGCAAGCTGCACGTCGCCAACCTCCTCTTTGCTCCTCATCTTCTTGACGGCTCCCCATGTTCCGTGGAGAACCAAGCAGCAATACTCCGTAGCAGCAGCAGCAACAACGAGCTACAAGCTACAAGTTACGACAAGTCATCAATAACAAGAAAAGAGTTGGCCCGCGGCGATCCTGCCGTCGCTCGACCTCTGCGCGCATGACCCTATCTGCCTCTGCTTTTCTCACCTGCATTGACAGATCGCGGTTGCGAACGGCCAGGTACCACAGTACCTACCTCTCTCTCACTTCGATTTCCCAGCCTTTACGAAGGGTGTATTTGCCAATTGGCTTACAAGACTCAAGGAAGAGGCACAAATACCTAAGATATCAGGGTGGGTTACTGAGAGAGACACATACACATATTCGCACATACGCACACATGCACACACATACGAAGAGAGATTGAGAGAGAAAGAGAGAGAGAGAGAGAGAGAGACGGCAAAGATGGGCGAGGGGTGTGGAAAGCAGAAAAAAAGGCCAATGCATGTCAAGAGAGAGCACCCTGCCTTTTGGATCGAGGTCTCGCCGGGCTTGGTTTCCTGATTTCCCTTGGATTACCTCCAAGGTTCATCAAAGCAACACCGTCGAGCGGCACTGCCAGCTCATCATTGCATGGTGTGGTCTGCGTCCCAAGGGCCTGCGCTTGCTTTGGCCCGGCCTAGTTGCAACTTGTGCGTTTTCGCGCGCGCCCGCTTGCACCAGCCAGCCGTTGCGCTGCGTCTGCCTGCCTGCCTGCTGCTGCTGTTACTTGTCATTACTTGTTGTCTGGCTGCTCCATGTTATTGCTGCTGCTGCCAAAGGTCTCCATGGATCCGTACACACTGATGCACCGGCACCCACATCACCAACCCACGTCCAAGGTATCCGTACCCGTCATGTCATGTCCGTGGTGCGCAGTACGTACTGATGCTCTCTCAGGTAGGTATCTTAGTTAAGGTACCTTACGGATACTGCCTCGCTCTTTCCCACTGCAAGTTCCCATGTACCTTCGTCTCCTCCTCTACCTACACCACCAAGTCGTCCTCGTCCTCCGACAACCAACAACATACGAACTGGAGACAATGGGGACATCGACATCTTCTTCGAACCCTCCGACAGCCTCCTGTCCTCCTCCACTGGAGGTACCTGACCTTACCTGACCTCACCACGCATTCACGGCCTTTTCAATGCATACAGACCTATTCACCGTCCTCACACCCCTCTCAGTGGTGTCGCCGTCGTTGTCCGTTTTCGGCCATCTAACGGTCTGCATTCGCGTGGCTTTAATTTTTTTCTCCCCCTCCTAATCTTCTCCTGCCCCTCCACACTCGCCGCCATCATCGCTTTTAGTCATTAAACTTTTGCCTCACCTTACAGCAGGAGAGAGGGTCCTTTTTCGACCTAGGCAGTCTGCGGTGCACACTGTAACTCTCGCAATATATCCAGAGAGAGGGGGGGAAGTGGACAGAGGGACATGCTTCTTGCATATGGAGAAGCGAGGTAGAATTTGCCCGCGGAGCCGATTGCAGCGCACCCCCTCCCTATCGATTCCATGCTGCTCATCCCACTCCGACGTGAGAAAGCAACATTGGCTCAGGTTCTCAAAGCCAGAGAGGGGGAAGCTATTCCATGTTGAT